CGGACCGTTTTTACCAGGTGGTGTGGCGAGGCTCGCCGTCGAACATGCAGCCCCTGGTCACTGGGGTCCCCCAAGGATCGGTCCTAGGCCCTCTCCTTTTCTCCTTATACACCCGGTCTCTTGGCTCTGTCATATCCTCACATGGCCTCTCCTATCACTGCTATGCTGATGATACCCAACTATTTTTCTCATTCCCACAGTCTGAAACCCAGGTGGCATCCCGTATCTCTGCATGTCTGACTGACATCTCGGCCTGGATGTCTGCACACCATCTGAAACTCAACCTAGGTAAAACTGAACTGCTCTTCTTCAAAGGAAGAGCCTGCCCGCTCCAGGATCTGTCCATTACGGTGGACAACGTCACAGTCCCTGCTACCCAATGTGGGAAAAACCTTGGCGTGACCCTTGACAACTCCCTCTCATTTTCTGCACACATCAAGGCGGTGTCCCGGTCTTGCAGGTACATGCTCTACAACATTCGGAAAGTAAGGCCGTATCTTACGCAGGAAGCCGCACAAGTGCTGATCCAGGCACTTATCATCTCCCGTCTCGACTACTGCAACTCCCTTCTGGCTGGTCTCCCAGTGTGCGCCATCAAACCCCTGCAACTCATTCAAAATGCAGCAGCCCGCCTGATCTTCAATCTACCAAAGTTCTCCCACGTCACTCAGCTGTTCCGCACACTACACTGGCTCCCGGTCGAAGCACGCATCCACTACAAAACCATGGTGCTAGCCTATGGGGCAACAAGAGGAACCGCCCCCTCCTACATCTAGTCACTAATCAAGCCGTACACACCCACGCGAGCACTTTGTTCTGCCACCTCAGGCCTCTTGGTAGTGCCATCCCTACGGGAGGGCAACTCTCGATCTGCTCAGTCTAAATTGTTCTCCGTGCTTGCCCCGCAATGGTGGAACAACTCCACTCTGGAGATCAGATCATCGGACTCTCTACCAATCTTCAAAAAACGTCTAAAAACATTCCTCTTCAAACTGTACCTCCAGTAGCTCCATGAATGGAGCTCCACAACTCTCGACTGTTTGAAACTTCACAACCGAATCATTCTTCTATCTCTAGCACTTCCCCCTGCACCCACCCAGGAACAATGTACTTATTGCCTTTTTGATGTGTGTTTTAGCTATATGTGAAATGCCTGCACTTATTGTAAGTCGCTCTGGATAAGAGCGTCTGCTAAATGCGCAAAATGTAAATGTAGTGTAATTCCACAGACCCATATTCCGCTGTATACGCCCTCACCGTGAGCTCTGCTATACCCCTGGGGCATCTGTCCCCCCGGGCCTCCACCCGGTCCCTGGCCAGGCCCCCCGGGGCCCACAGCTCCAGGACCCCCGGTGGGCAGGCTTGGCATGGGCTGCCCCGGCACTCCTTGACCCTGCATTCCCGGGCTGCAACCCACGGGCCTCTTCCCCTGGACGGCCATCTGGAGATGGTCAGGCAGGGGTTGCCCTCGGGCCAGCATCTACAGTTGGAAGACGGACCACATCCAGATGTTAAAGTCCGCCATTTTAGCGCGAACGGCGTACATACGTACATGATTTTCCAGCCTTCATCTCAAAGAGAAATACGTCCAAACGCCACACTTAATCATCAATAGACGGGAACATGCCTTATAGGCCATGATCTGGGCCCGCAGCTGGTGCAGTTGGTTCTGGTTGAATGGAGTTGGTCCTCCACCTGTCGGGCCAGGTGTGGTGGGGCCCGGGCTGGGACCATGAGGCCCAGAGGCACTTTGCTGCACCCCACCGGGTCGATTCTGCTGGCCTGTCAGGTTTTGGGGATCACTAGTGGAATTTTCTGAAGAGTTTGGGCCAGAACCAGGGCCACTGCCGGTGGGTTGTAGCGGGGCAGAAGGGGGCCCGTTAGATGGAACTGGGCTGGAGTGGTCAGAACCGCCTAATGGGGAATGGTAGCCTGGTGGAGGGAAGCAGGAAGACAAAGGTATTATCTGAGGTGAAAGGTCGCGGATAGAAATGTTATAAATAGATCTGTGTGTGGGAGCTTGCGTGTGCGTGTACCTTGAGAGTGCTGGTCCATAGGGCTGGGTGGGGGGCCCATACCAGTGTGACCTCCTTGTCTCATGGGCATGCCTTTCATCTGGACGAAGCGTGACTCGTCACTCATGCTCTTTTCATGCATGCCAGTCCTCTCCATGCCAGTCCGCTCCATGGCAGTCCTCTCCATGCCAGTCCGCTCCATGCTTTCCAGTGGCTGCAGAGATACAGGCACCCCATTTATACCTGGGGCCAACATGTGTCCGGATTGTGCCCATGTAACGATATCATGTAATGATTCTGTCCACAATTTCAGAAAGATGATGCCAATTTAAAGACTGTTAACTGTGTCTTTAATTTGACTGCACAGGTGTGAAAAGAATATTTGGATGTATGGCGCATGTTGGTATAAAGAAGTGTACACATTAACAGGGTTCGATTTGACAAGTTGGTAAATGTATCCCAAAAATGTTTTAGTACGGTTTTTCCTAGGACATTTTTCTGAATAACTTTTCAGTATCTTTATCAGATGACATAACCGGCAGATAATAAAAAAATGTGTAAAATTACTTTCTTGCTGTATTTTTCTCATTGTCCACACAACATGTAAATTCGTCCTAGGTCTTGGTTTTAAGGTGTCCATAAAGCTGTAAGTAGCTTACTTTGTGCAGAGGGTGCATGTTCTCCTGGGAGTAACCAGAGGGCCCAGGCTGAGGCAGGGGGAGACCCGATGTAGGAGGTCCGGTGGCAGGTCCCATCATACTGTGAGCGGACCCCCCTGGGGAAGGACCAGGGCTAGGGCCTAGCATTGTCCCAGGAGAGGGCCCCGGGCCTGGGGAAGGGCCCGGGCGAGTGTTACCACCCATGGAAGAGTCTGGAGTAGACATCCTGGATTGGGTGGCTCGGGAGAAAAGACCTCCAGCTATTTTATAGATTGTAGTGCAAGAACATAAGAGCACAGCTACATACAACCAGTCATTTGATGGTCCCATATAAAGAGGATATTTCGTGAAGATGTATATTTTATATATATTATGCAAGTAAAAAGGCGAGAGGTGTGGTACATGTCCAATATACCACCACAAACAGCTGTTCGCGCATGGCTATTAACCAATCAGCATTCAAACCAACTGATGTAAAAAAAATCAAATCTAATATACATAACTTGATGAGGCACCCCAACTTTTTTCCATTAATGGGTAGATTAGGCCAAAATCGTTATGGTCGTGAACCAACAATTATGAACGCCTGAACGACGTCGTATGACAGAATTCTAAAGTGTTTTATCTATTGATTATCCATCTATCGATACTTAGCCGCGGATTGCATGACACCAGGCATCACACAGTTGATGTGCAGCTGTTACTGGTACTCACACACCCTGCGTTGCACCAAAACCCGCTCGCAGCACGCAGTCTCCCGTTGCACAGCACCGATATAGCGATTCATTCACGTTGGCCTATCGCAATAAACTTGAACTCGCGGTAGGATACGGATGAACGTTATGAATTTCATACAGAAAAAAACGGCCAGTGTGGTTCTATGAAAACGGGAATGGCGGACTGTCTGTGTGTGATTGTGTCACTGTCGGACTTACCCGTAATATATTGACGGCTCGCCGAGGTCGCGGTGTCCTGAATGTGGTTTAATTGCAAACGTCGCGACAGTACTAATCAATATACCCACACCAGATCGTCAGTAAACAGCCGAGCGCGCGCTTGAACCGTTGATTTGATCCACACAGACGTGGCTCGAGCGCCCCCTCCCTCCCTCAGCGACGCGGTGCTCGCGGCCGACTAGCTCAGACCAATGCGCATGCGTCCCTGTGTGCAGTGGAGTCCGCTCTATGTGTTCCGTGTGCTGCTGGACCACCTGAACACAACATGTTGTTTATAAGACGTTACTATTAAGTCGCGTCTATTCTCCCATCACAGCTGATATGTTTATGGAGAAAAAACTAAAGACAATTGACAAATTGAGGAAAAGTATCTTTTCCCAGCCTGAAAGTCGCTACAAAAGTATATTATAGGAGGATTATTACACAACTCAGTACTTCAGACTGGTTGCCGCAGCCCAGCCACCCTGATAACAGCAATCATATTATGAGGTCTCCGCAAATAAATACAGCAAAATGTATGTCTTTAATATAATCACAGACAGCAGCATTAAAAAAGGGACATCCTTTACATGTCAACGCCACGTTTTGCTCATTAACACTTTCATACTGGACAACTATGGTTAACTTTGTAAAAACAAAGATTAAAAAATAACTAAATAAAGGGAGATAACGTTTAGATACAAAGTCATTACCACACATATGCATTTCACTTTGCAAACTATAGGTGTTAAGTTGAATGTTCAGACAAAGCATTGTATTATAGAAGGGAAAGCGAGCCCGGTCTCGTGTTTCACGTGACACAGGTAATATTCGGCGTGTTCAGCACCGCTACACGTGACTGGACTACTGTGGGAACTGGTGGAGAAGAGATGCACGCATAGAAATAAAGATGCAACTAGTGACCGGCATGACGATTTGCATGCGATTGATTGTCTTTGTCAGGCAGCAGACGCCTATGCGCAGGAACTTTGCAGAGAGTTGCTTTGCTTACGTGCTTTGGTCTACGTTTTTGCCCTTGTTGGATTTTCAATTTAAACCTTTTGGCTAATATGATACACCGGTATGCAACCCTGGTTCTGTGTATGCCCGTTCTGTCTGCAACTGCTTATCTTCTCAGCAGTGAAATACAGCACAATAAAGCAATCAAACAGATCACTTTACATAGATAGACCAACGTAAGGCGAACACATGTTGTTTTCCATTAAGATACGAGGCAAAAAAACAACAGTTTGTGTTTCTGCAAAATGGATTAAAATGTATTTGTGTTTTCAGGAATTTGTTTTGGATTGTTTTATTCAGTGATTCAGATACTAAGAATGTTAGCTTATAAATGTAACATTTTAATTTATTTTAACATGTATTTAACCAGGTATGCACCCTGGGGATTGAACCCAGAACATCATACATACAAAGCACTCACTCCATCACTGAGCTACACCAACTGCTTGTCAATTAAAAAAAGAACATTTACATTTCACAAAACCTGACGACAGGCTTATATGGAACACCCATTAAGCCCAGTTCAGCCCATCTTTGACATACATTATCATCAAATATCATCACCTGAAATAGACCAATGGTTCAAGTAAAATAATACAATTTGAAAGATTTATATTTGATTATACCTCCACAAATTGTGCAGTATCTTATCTTAAAATTTGGTGGGCTTGCGACAAGAATAGGGACAATTTATCTGAGACATGTAGAGTACATCGCTTTTAGCAGATCCATAAGATACGCCAGCAGAGGTTGGGAATTTACTAGCTATGTAAGTATCAAAAAATAACCTCAACATAAAAGCTCCAGCGTTTAACGAGTAAAAAATATGAAATGGTAGTGCAAGTGGCATCAAATTGCCATTGTAAAATCCAGATTGCAATAAGAAACCAGAACATTGAAGATCAAATCAAAGCTGCATAAAGGTACAAATAAATCCAGTTTAATATCACGCATTCAAGTCTCACGTACACAGTTCTTCCAAGAGGCACCCATTCATTGGGCCGGGGCTCTGGAACAGCTGCGATCGACTGTGCCTGTCTGGCAACATGTGACCTAATGGAACAATCCCAAAATCTGACGCCCAGGCCACAGACATTCAACACGGAATGTGTCGAGAAACAGAAGGACATTTTATTTGAACCCAGTAAGTCTGGCCCAGGTAACATATTGTTGTGTGGATGGGGTTGGTTGTGATTCCAAGGACTACATTACTCTTTGAGTCAGGAAATGATTACAGCCGTGTAATATCAGCGTGATACCACAGCCGAGTAATATCAGCGTGATACCACAGCCGTGTAATATCAGCGTGATACCACAGCCGAGTAATATCAGCGTGATACCACAGCCGTGAAATATCAGCGTGATACCACAGCCGAGTAATATCAGCGTGATACCACAGCCGAGTAATATCAGCGTGATACCACAGCCGAGTAATATCAGCGTGATACCACAGCCGAGTAATATCAGCGTGATACCACAGCCGAGTAATATCAGCGTGATACCACAGCCGTGTAATATCAGCGTGATACCACAGCCGAGTAATATCAGCGTGATACCACAGCCGTGAAATATCAGCGTGATACCACAGCCGAGTAATATCAGCGTGATACCACAGCCGAGTAATATCAGCGTGATACCACAGCCGTGTAATATCAGCGTGATACCACAGCCGTGAAATATCAGCGTGATACCACAGCCGAGTAATATCAGCGTGATACCACAGCCGAGTAATATCAGCGTGATACCACAGCCGAGTAATATCAGCGTGATACCACAGCCGAGTAATATCAGTGTGATACCACAGCCGTGAAATATCAGCGTGATACCACAGCCGAGTAATATCAGCGTGATACCACAGCCGAGTAATATCAGTGTAATGATACAGCCGTGAGGTTAAAGGACAGCATCGTTCCTGGGGGAGAGGTCAGAGGACACAGGGGTCAGTAGAGGACACAGGGGTCAGTAGAGGACACAGGGGTCAGTAGAGGACACAGGGGTCAGTAGAGGACACAGGGGTCAGTAGAGGACACAGGGGTCAGTAGAGGACACAGGGGTCAGTAGAGGACACAGGGGTCAGTAGAGGACACAGGGGTCAGTAGAGGACACAGGGGTCAGTAGAGGACACAGGGGTCAGTAGAGGACACAGGGGTCAGTAGAGGACACAGGGGTCAGTAGAGGACACAGGGGTCAGTAGAGGACACAGGGGTCAGTAGAGGACACAGGGGTCAGTAGAGGACACAGGGGTCAGTAGAGGACACAGGGGTCAGTAGAGGACACAGGGGTCAGTAGAGGACACAGGGGTCAGTAGAGGACACAGGGGTCAGTAGAGGACACAGGGGTCAGTAGAGGACACAGGGGTCAGTAGAGGACACAGGGGTCAGTAGAGGACACAGGGGTCAGTAGAGGACACAGGGGTCAGTAGAGGACACAGGGGTCAGTAGAGGACACAGGGGTCAGTAGAGGACACAGGGGTCAGTAGAGGACACAGGGGTCAGTAGAGGACACAGGGGTCAGGAGCTCAGTCTCTAGAGTGGGTGTGAACATCACAGCTGTTCCACAAGATGGCTTCAGATCACATGGCAATCTTTACAGTAGACACACACACACACACACACACACACACACCTTATAAATAAATGTAAGACGTCAAATAAAACCCCATAAATGTACAGCATATGTATATCAGTGAACAGGGTTAAGGTCCATCTGTCATATAGCAGGTTTCATACTGGCACCATTGTTCTTAGCATGTAAATCTTAGTGCTATATTATAACACCACCGTCTGAGACAGAACGACAACGAGATCCAGTTGAAGCCTTGAAGAGGAATAAAACGAATTCCGCTGTGTGACATAGCAGAGAGCATTTACCCCTATGAGCTTTTTGTTCAGGCAACCCGAATCCATCCTAAAACTATAAACCGCAATCATTAGTCCGCCTTGTAGGCAGGGTGTTCAATTTTCCATTGTCCAAGTCATTGGAGTTTACCACAGGAAGATGTTTTGCAAGGGACAACCAGGGGTGCTTATTGGAAAAGCTCCGGGAATACCACCCTGATTTATGCAGCATGCTGACATTTGGTTCCTCGTCAACAGCACCCGGTACTCACAGGAATACAAATTCGTCCATGCTGCCTCGATTGTTGCTCCTGCTCAGCTTGCCTGGGGGTAGGATGTGGGCGGGGCTTGGGGCGGCGTCAGAGTGGAGGTGGGAGGAGCTGTGACCAACCAATCCATAGTCCTGCCCCTGACCCTCTACAAAGGTGAAGACTGGATACTTCTCTTTGGAAGACAACAATGTCTGAAAAAAGGGGGGGGGGGGTATTGGGTATTCTCAGCATGACAATAGACTTACATAAAATTAAAATACAGTTATTCCTAGAAATGCAGTCAGTCTGAAAAACAATGGCATGTATATGCAGGAACCACGATGCTTTCTCCTGTCTCCTCTTGAACTAAGGCCCGGGCTTCGGATGAAATGAGCCCATGAGGCTGAACTCACCAGACTGACAACACGACACAGAGACTCAAAGTCTTCCCTAGTCCTGGCGTAGAAGCCAATGGTACAGCTGGGGTCCATCCGACTGAGAGGCATTTTCCTCGGGGTGCAACAGTGGAACGACTGGGGATGTGATGAGAGCAGACAGAACATTAAAGCAAGACAAGCTCTGTGTGTGAATAGGACAACTTCTGTCCGTTCAAAACATGCTTATCTGGCTCATAGAGCGGACAGAGAAAGTCCGAGCCGCATGACAGACATGCAGTATATTGAGGAAGTAAACGAGGGGATATAAAGCTCCAACCTCCAGTGGGAAGTTGCCTTGAGTGACATCCACCATAGCCTGACAGTAGTGAGGGTCCAGATACAGCAGCTGCTCATCTGATTGCACAGAAAAGAGGAAGTAGCCCGGGTCAGGTCAGGTTAACTGACAGCCCATTGGCTAATCAAGAGGCCACGGAACAGTGCAGTTTTTACCTTGGCAGCCAATGAAAAACAGCGAATGCTTGGGCTTGCCTCCGATGATTCCGATACAGCATTTCAACTTGAGGATGTTCTATGGATAGGGGCCATGTTAAAGCCACATCAATAGTGGAGAAATCAATTAGTTTAAGTTGTAATTAGGTTTGGCCAATCAGCTTTGACTTTATTGAAATATTGCACCATATCATTAGAAAGCTATAGATATATATAAATAAAGCATTTCTTTGGTGCGCATGTTATACAAATACACCTAAACATTAGTTTTTTTCACATGTGAATTCTGCTGTACTTTGGAATTTATGTAGAGTAGAGAAATTGGCACATTCTCCTGAGAGAAAATGACTCTTAATTGTAACCAAGCATTAATCGAATGGCTACAGGTCCAGACCTAGAATTTATTCAGAGACAATGTAAAATATTTAAAGAAAGTGCACAGGTGCCAATACTTAAGGCCACAACTGCATTTAAAACTATAAAAATATATGCCACTTATATGGCCCTGGGATTTGAACCCACAATCAATTGAGTTACATGGCACTGCAAATTGCATGCGTGTGGGACTATGTAATTACACACACCTTGACACACTGGATGTAGGACGGGTTGAGAGACTCTCCTCCTAGTCTGACAGGTACCAGTATGATGACAGACGTCCAGTCCGACCCGCTGGGCTCTGGACCGTACGTTCCGCGGGTCGACGGGTCACATAGACGCACCACATCCTCTTTGTACACTGTAGGAAAACAAGCGATCAGAAGAAAGGACCAGCAGTGATTTGGCTGTTTGGACGCATGACCGTAAACTCACCAGTAGAGTCCTGGGCCACGTACACAACCAGGTTCAGAACTTCAGGCGTTTGGGCCACTGCTTTTCTGGAAAACACAGAGGGAGAAGACTCTTGACCCATGCCCAGAATAAGAGTTGGTCACGGACAGACAGAGCACCTAACTGGGCGTGAGGTAAATATACCTGACCAAAACATCTACATTACAAAAGTAATGTCTGTAGGACGCCGCTCTCTGATCCACTACGTGATGACATCACACAGCCGTAAACCACTTACACACACACAGGAAATACACAATAGTTATTGATGACGTCGAAATACTGGAATGTATGTTACACAATGCCAGTTGGTTTACTCAACAATGTACTCCACACTGAAGGGGCAGACTTCCTGCATTTACTTCATGTTTGGCTCCAGTCGGCACAGTCCACCCACCCGTCTCACTGACATTATTCCCAGGCCATTCCTATGAATAAGAATTTGACTGCTAAAGATCTGACAGCGTTGTTATCATGACCAAACCCCAATTAGATAAAAAGAACTATTAAAATACATCTGTAAATAAATGATAACTTAAATATATTAATGAATACACACACACAATTTATGATTAATAAATAATCATAATAATAATTCAACAAAGAGCACTTCTCACTGTAGTATGTGGGCCACCAC